ACTCGAGGCGCTCCTACCTTGTTTTTGATGTAAGACTAAAGCCCTACAGTACACCATTTAACAAGCCTGTTGTTCGGATCTTGTACCTTGGAGGAGCCAGGATCCAACATGGTGGACTACGTTGCCTTCGTGCACCGCTTCCGTGCCAGAGCAAAGTTTAGTGGCTGCGGGCGTTGGTTTCTGTCGGGCTTTCGATCAACGCCCCAGCCCGAAAGTTCCCCGCACTGAGCTGTGCAAGGGAGCCGGTGCTTGCATGTTTGGAGTGCGAGGGCTGTTTTGTTTTGCGGTCTGCAACTTTTCAAGCTAATCTATACTCGGTTGAGCTGGGGCAAAGATGAAGACAGAACGATGGCCGGCAGAGTGGCACTGCATCGATGATCCAGTACCGGTATTCTGGGAGAGGCACCGTGATAAAAGGCTCAAGAAGGCTGGATTCAGGCCGCTTTACGGGACCGGCCCAGTGTGCACTTGCATGTTGAGCTGCCGTTGATGGTAATTCTCGAGCAGAGGTGGATACTGCTCGCAGTGACCATCGTCACTGTTCCGCTTGTTTCATGTTGCCGCCGAGTTTGGGTTGGCAAGTACAGGGCATACGGATGCAGACCAGTGCACCTGCCTGTGATCTAAGGAAAGGGCGGTGGATAGTTTAAGTAATGACCCCTAGGAGTTAAGACTGAACACGATAAAGGGACCTCAGTCTTAACGAAGCAAAGGTGTCGGTCTCGCCGGCTCGGAGATCTCGGACGAGTGGGCCCAGGCTTGGGTTTTTCAATCCATAGGGACTGCAAGGAGATGTTTGGTCTTTGTTTGCTTTCCGATTTCGCCTGGAACCGGATCACTGCAGCAGCAACCAACCAATCACACGGTGACTACGCCACGCTCGCGAGCCAAGACGCATGTTATTCAGCACGGTATGGCATGTTGCCCCGAAAAACATGTCAGAAAAAACCACGCAACTGACGTCATGATTGCTTGCTGTTGTGCATTAGACATGAGAATAGTAAGGGAAGGACAAATGCCAACTGCTCACCTGTGAGCAGGGCCTTTTAGGCCCTTTAGGCCCAGGCTTCTGCCCGACTGCGTGTTTTGAGTGGAAGTAGCCGGTCAAGAACGGCAACAACACTCCGCCGTGGATGCCAGCCTACTAGTGCATGAAATATTTCCGAGTCGCATGTCTGCTGATGATCATACTGAGCCCAGTGGTCGCAGAGTACACATCCAGAGGCACAGCCGGCAAAATTTACCAATCCACCCAAACCAAGTGTCGGACTCTTCGACTGAAAACCTTGCAGGAACTTGTCTTCAGCGTTCACGGCTTAGGGTTCAGGCTTGAAGCTAAGTGTTTAACGTAAAAACTGTCATTCCGGTTATTTGGAGTTGCAGTTGGAAGCTCAGGAAATCCAAGCTAAGGTTTAACATTGGAAGTCGAGTGCTCCCCAAGAACCTTAGACCCAGAGCCCCCCTCAAAAAAGCAAACAAAAAATGAATGGAACAAACATATGACCAGACTGAGAGCAGTAGTGGCAGCAATAGTACACAAGGCAGCTTTTAGGGTGCCTCGCAGACACTGGTCTCCCGCGTTTTCGAGCGGCTGATTTACAGCGACTGGCCCATTACCCAGATGCTGCATCACTTCGACCGCGACGGGAATGGCAACTCGGCTAAATCAACTCTCTAGCTCTAGCCCCTCTAGTCCCAAGAAGGCGCTAAGCAGCTGAGGCAACTCGTTTAGCCTCTTTGAGAAATTCTGTAGCCCTGCCATACTTCAATGCAACACCAAGCGAGCAACACTGTCGTGACCATACGGCGATGAGACTGTCCAAACAGTGTGCACCAAGAAGCCCTAACGATGCATTCAAGCTCGCCCGCTGTAGCGTCAGAGTCCAAGGTACGGTGACTGCTGCTGAGCTGAGGCAAGGCTACAGATTTTGGAGCAGTCCTGAACCTTCAGCACTCTCCCTTCAAATGTCTGTCGCATGAGGGGTCTTGGGTTTTTGGAATTGGCTGACACTCACGCATCGTAGAGCACACGCATCGTAGAGCAGGAGCCGGCTTAGCACAACCCTAAAGCCAAAAGCCCTAACATCCCCTCAAAGGGTCCTTTATGCCCTAACAAAAACAATCAACGCGATCCTAAGTTCCCCAAGTCCAAAGCCGTAAACCTCAAAACCCCTAACTTTGGAAGCTTGAGAACCCCACACCCTCGCAGGGAAGCTTTTGTGGAGCTGGACGTTGGCATCACAGGGCCTCAGGCTGGGTGTCTCCAACCAGAGGGAAAACAAGTGGACTTGGACCCCCTGAAACCCATGTCACATTGGACTCAGGCGGGGCTTGGGATTCGATTTGGGGACCTAAGCGCCTTGGGGTTCAGGCTTTTCGCGCTGAGGGGGTTTAGATTCTGCTCAGTTGGATCACAGTTGAATTGCGAGAATGATGTGAGGGAATGGTGGAAACTTTGTCGAAGTTTCCGGGTTTTGCAACGAACAGGCGTTCAATTCCTAGAACTCCACTGGCCCACCTCTTGCCACAACTCCGAAGAACCCGACGCCGTTCCAGAGGCGTGAAAGCCCCACTCGTCTTAAACCCTAAACCTTCAAGATCCAAACCCGGAAAACCCTGAACTCCTGACTCCGGAAGCCGAAACCCTGATCCCTCTACCAACTCTCGTGGACCGATGCTTTATTTTGGCAGCCTTGAAGGAAGCTGTCTAACTCGAAGCCCTAAATCCTCATGCCCTGCAAACTAGGACACAGCCCCACAAAGCCCTGTTTAGGGTTTAGGGTTTAGCCCTAAACCCTGAACCCTAAACCCCAGCGAGGGTAAGTTTGGTCGAACCTCTCAGCGCCGAGGAGGCGCTGGGATAGCTGAAGTGCGATGCAAGTCGGTGCTTGCGAATGCAGGTTAGGTGCTTTCAAGCCCTTCAGAGGTAGTACTAGTTTTAGTTAGTATTACAATATTATAGTATTAGTAGTAGTATTATAATATTATAGTATTAGTAGAAGCATTATAGTATTCGTATAATAATCCCGAAGCATCCTAGGCCTTAAACCTTAAATTGCAGACCCTTACCCCCCATACGCCTGAACCACTAAACTGCAGACTGAAAGGCGTTCTCGCTGCTGCGGACGATGACGGCCCATGGCACCGCAGACCAGAAGAGAGCAGGCACGCCCTGGGAGCGGGCTTAGGAATTCGGGTTTAGGAGGTTTATGCGAGTGACCGGCGCGAGTTTGACTAGGTTTCACCTTCGGCCTTCGAGAGAGGAAACTCTCCGGGTCTGCCTTCACTTCCTTATAAGCTTGGTCAGATGCAAGAATGCGCTTGCCCGGGGTCCTGCATCATCCCAACGGCCCTTATGATGAATGCGTGTTGTAGTCCTTATACCTTTTGCCCCGCATCTTCATGCTTTTCACGACGGTTCGACTAGTCCAGCCGAAGAGTTGGGTCTAAGCTGGGCCGTGGGGACACCCCCGACCCACCCATAGACCGACCGTGGCAGGAGGGCCTTGAACCCTGAAGCTTCGCCTCGTACTCAAGGCAAACATCTCCGAAGCCCAGGTGGCATCAGCATCGAATCCTTCCTGTCTCTCTTCGAGATGACGTCTGGATCCTAGAATGTGGAAGAATTCAGACTTCCGGACAGGAGCTGCAAAGGGGTTGAGGGTTCAGGATTCGGGCCCTGCTTATGACTGCCGCCCACCCTGACCTCTCAAGCTCTTGAAACCATTTGGGCCCTGCAGTGCTTCGTCGCTCCCCTTTTGAACCGAAGCCCTGTGCAGCCAGAAGTGCGGCCCAGTGCGCTTCAAACCCTCGTGACATACTCAGGTTCCATCCGCATGCCACGGGACAGGTCGCTGGAACGACAAGCGGGGGTGGTGTTGTACGGTTTGAGGCTTGCGAGGAAGCGTTTCGAGGATATGAGGTTTGTGTGTCATTCACGAACTTTCGGGTTGAACTGGGTTTGGGGTTTCGGGGGGGCTTGCAGCCTTTGCGGGTATAGGGCCTGGGGCCTTGTGCTTGAGGATTCAGTCTTCCGATCTGATGGCATCTCCCTTGCACCTGAAGTTTTGCACCTGAGCGTGGTCTCGTCATTCGCGGGCCTCTCAAATGATAGTTTCAGGCGACAGAACTTGCGCAATTGGGGCTTGGGGATTGAGGTTTTGGCGGTAAGAACCTGCGGTTTCTCATTGGCGTCTACGGGTTTAGGGTCTGAGGTCTTGAGCAACCCGAGCCTCTGTAGTCTCAGGCCGTGTACATAGGGATCCCACGAGGCTCCGTTGGGATGCTCGGCGGACCGTAGGGCCTCAAACCGAAGCCTGTTGCCCTAGACCAGCGCCTAAAGCTCACCTAAAATGAGTCGATTTGAACAAAGCCTACCATGAAAGCCAAAAAGCAGAGTGTTATATAGCCAGTCCTCAGTAAAAAGAAGCCGTAGGTGCGTGTCCCCGGCTGGGTCACTGCTTCGCTCCGTGTGCTGGGTGGGCTCATTTGGCAGGGCACCAGCGGCGAGGAGCCAGCAGGGAGTTGCGGAGTTTCGCATTTCGGGTTGAGGACAGCGGGTCCCGGCTTTGACGGTCTTCGGAGCTTTTGGCGTTCAGGCCCAAGATGTAAAATCCTGAGATACCTCCTAAAGATCTACAAGACCTGACATGCTATGGAGCTTCAAGTAGAGTCAGGTTTCGATTTGTATACACTGTATTCCACTGTCTTCACCAAAGTACATCCGTTCAGACGTTCAGGCTCCCACAGAGTACATCCGAAGCCTTGAAACCTTTCACGCACAAGGTTGACCATGTTTTGTAATGAGTTCAGATCCACCGCAAGAAGCACCAGTGGGGCTTAGCTGATAGAGTTGCATGTGTGCCGCAAGGCATTATGCATTATACAGATGTGGCCGGAGAGAAGCAGAGAGACGGAGAAAGAGACAAAAGTGAGAGCAAGAGCGAGCGAGCGAGCGAGGCCTTCCCAAGCCCCCCATCCTTCAAATTAGGACCGTGCACGCCAATTCTTCGAGCGCGCAGATGCCAACGGCAACGGTCTCCTTTCCCTGCCGGAGCTCGTCGCGGTCCGGGGTTCAGGGTTGACGGGCAGGATACTGTGCAAGGTCTATGCAGTAAGTGGGGCAATTCTCTAAGGTTTCGAAGGGGTTTAGGGCTTCATTCGGGGCTCACGGGATCTGGAAAGGGCTTGAGTGGTGGGGCTTCTCATGCTCAGGATCTCGGTGGCTCAAGAAACTAGACCCTCTTGCTTCTGTGTCGGGTCTAGCCTTGTAGAAACTCCTGACATGTCTCTACAGATGGGGAAAGGAAGCATAGGGATTCGGCATATAAACGATGGGTTCAGGCAAAGCCTAAACCACACGAAAGAAGCAAGATGAAAACACCCATGCATGAAGGGCTGAAGTGGCTCGGTATCCGGGTTTGGGGACAGGGATTTGGGCCCAGGCATGTCAGGCCAAGGGTTTGGGGTTCAGGCTTCTTGATCCTTATTCACTCCTTCAACTTCTCATACACTGATCTAGGCCCTGTTTGTCGTCTACTCGAAAACGGTTAAGGTGCTTGGAAGGCGTGTGATTCTGATAGACACGCCCCGCATAAAGCTCCTTGTATTGCACCTCGATCGGAGCAGCTTTGTGGTCTGGAAACTCTCCCTGCCAGGGCATCACGCAGCTGTGCCAAGCGGAGAGCGTAGACCTGCAGCTCACCCGGAGCCTCAGTCAACAGTTTAGCATCCTTTTGCAAATGTCGGGGGTTCATGATCTATCGTAAGCTTGAGGCTTTTGTGGCTTCGGGAGCACCAAGCGTTTGCTCGCCCTCGGTCCTCGTTTCATTTGTTCATATTCGTTCCATTACATTTGTCATCACCTGGCGCAGGTCACTCATCAAAATTCGACCATCGAGTCGGGCTGGGGCGGATGAAGTCATGTCGAACCTGCAAACATCATGAGCTGTGGAACCTTTGTCTGCTTGCTTATGCAGATTTCCCAGCAAGCTTGAATGGAAAGCTGCCCCAGATCTCCAGGAAAGATTTCCTCGACTTGGCCAAATGGGTGGACATTAGCGGAGAGGGCCAGGTCAACTACGTCGCGCCTCGATGAAAGCGTGCATTTTAAGCCTACATGGAGGCTCTCTGTGGTATTGTATACGGTTGAAGTGTTTCCCAAGTCAGAGATTCAACAGCACCGTAAACCGACCCTAAACGACGGACCCTAAATCTCCAAGCCTGAAGTATCCCAGGAGCTCAACACTAACACGGCAATCGTCATTCCTCTACGCTCTCCCTCGAGAGCTGAGCGCGAAAATACAGCTAAACCCAAGCCGTCCCAAAGCATCTGTGTATGGGGGGGGTGTATACGCATATCATATAGAGAGATATAAAGATAGATACACCGCAATAGTAAGTAGTAACATGAAGCTTCCAAGGAGTTCCTGAAGGCTTTCCTCCCGGCCGGTCTTTCAGACGGCAGCTTCCAGGCGGACATCATGGAGTCCATCTGCCGCCGGGACGAAAGACCTCAGAACCTGTCATCATCATCCGACAGCTAGAAACATTGTCGTACTCCATTCAGGAGTCGTATCCAGGTGGAAGCACTTAGACCGATCTCTGCCGCAGTTGTTTTGCTTCAGTGCGGCTGCTTCAACCTTGCAGTGTGGATCATCATGAAAGCGTTGAGGTGCCTGGCTCCCAGTGTTGGGAGTTCCGGGTCCTCATGGTTTTGAAGGTGGACAGTTTTTTTGTGGTGCCCTACTTTAAGGTGTCACGGTTTCGGGATTTGGCTTGTTGCACGTTTGGGAACGGGCATCGTGATTCGAGGTTGGACACATATGTAGCTGATCCGGACCCCAAGACCTCAAACCCCACATTCCCGAAGCCTCAATTCACGAACTCCCCAGCCTCGACCCGATGGTTGAGACATCAAGGTCTCCACCTTCATGCCCGACAAATGAGCCTCAGGCACCACGATCTGGAGCAACAAGACCGCGCTTCTGAGGGCCTGCCTGACCTTCGATGCAACTCAGCAACATCTGTGTCTCGGTAGTAGGAGAGCTATTTCGAGGGTCAGGGTTTGTGTGTATTACGGTTTAGGTCTGTTGAAGGCGCTTGTTGCGATCCGGAATCCTAAGACCGTGACACTCCTGAAGTGGACTTGAAACTCCAAACATGTCCCTCTGGCTCCTAATTGAACGCGGAACCCTGAACAGAAAACTGCACCCCCCAACTTCTTGGCTTCGACCTTCGTATTCGCTAAGTCAACGCACAGCGGTCGCGTTGCTAGAGGGCAGCTGGCAGAGGCGGGGGCAGCAAAGGGTTTTTGGAGTTTTGCCAGGGTCTCAAAATGTGGACCTCAGAGTCATCACAGGCATTCCAACGCTACGGGCCTACATCAGGGTTTTCAAATTGTTTTGGGTCCTGGGACAGGAGACAGGGTTGTTGGAAGTTTGGGTTTTCGTGTTAGCTTTGGGCAGGTCGGGGCTGACTTTCCTTCTGACTTCTTTGGAAGATTTTTTCTGCTGTTCGATCTGTGGGTCATCAGGGCCAAAGTTCTCTTTGGAGGTGGGACTAATGATTGAGGATCTCCATGCAGCCCTTGAAAAGGCTCATTACTGTATACATCCTTCGTCTTCATAGTAAGATCCCCAGACTTTTTGGGCTTCGTGGGCTCAGAACTTAATTTAGGACAGGGTGAAGGTCCTAGGCTGGGGCGAGTAGGGGATCGGAGCCCCAACTTATTGAGATATGCGAATTCGGCAGGGCTTCCAGGCTCTGACGTTTGGGACCTGAGGCCATGGCCTTTAATACTTTTGGGTTTGAGACCTTCTCGGCACGGGACCTGTGATGCCGCCCGCCATGAGGCGTAATCGCCAGTGATTCGCGTTTTCAGATTTCGCGGTAGGCATGCTCTTTGCCTGCGAGAACCATGACTACTTTACATCCTCGTCCCCAAACCCGACACAAAACGGCCAGAAACTCAGAGACCTCTTGCTTCCGAGGCGCTTCGGCATCTCGAAAGCCGCGCGGGCGAGGCAAGCAGCAAAAGTTTAGGGAGCATCCAGAGGCTAAGAGCTGATGTGATACGGCTCTCTGGGTGTGTAGGAGAAGGGTCGAGGAAGCTACGTAGTCTAGGCTTGTGCCAGCGTTAAGGGCGCCAGGGCTTTTGAGTTCAGCGCACGGGGGCATAGAAGCTGTGAGTTCAGGCTGAATGCCTTACAGCACCATGGCTTTCGGGACGGCACGTTAAAGTTCAAATCTGCGTGGTCGTGCTCTGGAGGTTGTAGGTTTCAGATGTTCGGGGTTTCTGGAACTGGAGGAGGCCGTAGGCAGAGTACCGCTTATGGGATCTCGGGTCTAGAGTTTGGGCGTTTCAAGATCCAGGATTCCAAGTCTGTGTAAGGTTTGGGGGCCTCGGGGGGTCTGTCTGTCGTGTTTACAACTTTAACGTGCTATGAAGGAACCTGCCAGGTATTGTAAGGATGCAGTCGGCTTCAGGAGTTCTTGAATGGATCTTTGGATTGGAGGGTTTGCCATGTGCGGCTGGCTCGAATGTACTTTCTGCCTCGGCGGACTGATGAAACTCAAGAGCGTCAGGTGTCTTCTTATTATCGGGTGCGCGTAAAACTTCTGCTTATCAGCCTGAGACTTTCAGAGCTCTATGGAGTTTCTAGAACTTACAACTGTTATGTGCAAGGGTTTCAAGCTTTTCGGTCTTGGGGTGCTCCCACGTGTTGGCGGCAGGCCAGCAGCTTAAAGCTTCATCCTCAAGCCTTATCCCACAACATAAATCATCGATCTATGCCTAAACCCTAAACCCTAAACCCATGGCCGCTGGGAGGAGCTCCTTACTGCCGAGCAAGTGGCAGTGCTCCTGGCCACGGCCTCGAACTGTGTCTGTGTAAATCTATCTTTGGTGCGCTGTGCGTTCTGCCCCCGCAACCCCCCATAATATCCCCCCGCAAATACACGGAGAGTGGAACTGGACTCCGAACCTCGGGACCCCGGCCGTTCCAAAAGGGGGGGAGGGGGGATGATCACATGCGCGACCACTGGAAGAAGCCATTCCGCATGCGAGCTCAAGGCCCCAAGCCTTTTTTGCGGGGGAAGGGGAATGACCAAATCGATGATACCATTGGCGGGAGGGGGGTTGGGAGGAGGGTGGGGCCCGCGGGGACACAAAAAGATGTACATATTAGAATATGTATTCCCGTTATTCCAACCCTCCTAAGCATTCGCAGTCTTCTTATCACACCTTCTTGAGATTCGGCAACACGCAAGCTTCGAGTTGCTGAAAGCTCAGAAGTTGGGCTGTTATAAAAAAGCAGAGTCCTGTCCAGAGTACTGCTCCAAAGCTGATTGGTGGTGGTGGTAGTGCTGCTTCTGTGCAGGACCACACCAAGTTCAATCCGAAGCTGCTCGGCGGCTGGAAACCGTAGGGCCGCCGTAATCAGAGTTTTGGGTTTAGGGCTCATAATTTCGGGGAGAGTAGTGACATTATTATCAGTTTGTTTGTGAAGCCACGTGCGTCAGCATATTTTCCATTACGCTACATATCAGTATGTCCGGGAGGTTTTTGCGGTGTAGTGTTGCAAATCAGAATTTGTTTAGTTTTCTGTTCAGAGCGCTTCATGTGTAAGCAATCAACCTCCAGGCGAAAAAAGATCAAAGATCCTTAAGGCAGTTTGTGCGATGTAGGCAACGTCTTCAACAGTATCAGGCATGCACCAAACTTGCTCAAGGCCTGAACTCGCTCTGGGCTTGCAGCTGCAGGGCTAGACACTGCAAGACTGTGCCTCGTTCTCCGAATGCTGTTTGTCTCGGACCCGCGCCCCTTTCTGCTGTGAGGTTTCGGGGTTGCCTGGCCAAGCTGAGCTCTTATGACCTAACCCCTGTCCCTCAACCAATTCAACCTAGGAAGGTTAGTGTGAAAATCCCTTGGGATGGTGACCATGAGCGGTCGCAGTCAGCAAAATCCCCAATTCATCCTGGCTTCTCCGTGAAATACTAAACACCCCGAGCCCAAACCCGAATACCCTTCACTCAGGACTGAGCAAGTGCGTTACCGGCGCTTCCTTGATAGCTTCCAAGTTTTCGACACCGCACCCACTTGGGCGTAGTGAGCGAAAAAAATACGTGTCCAGTCGAGGGCATGGCCACTGAAGATCTGCCAAAGTCGTTTCGAATAGTGCAGTTTCTCAAAACAAAGCCATTTTGTGTCAGCAGGTATGATGATGGGACGGTGTCCTACTTGGATGTTGAAAGTAATTCAAGTATGAATACCTGCCGAATGGAATGAATTAATCGATCAAAACCATTTCTGACCGCTTAGTCCGAAAGCATACCGACGACGAATAATCTATTTATTCTTCTAAGACTTGATATGATTTTTACTTATTACCAAATATAATTTCTATGTGTAAATTCTTGAAACGATTATACTTATATTATCTGTTGAAAAAGATACATAGAAATATAAGATATATCCTTTTTTATTATTTAATAGAAACTATGTAGATTGAAAAGATTCTCGATTAAAAATTTGCTATTGGATTCTTTTGAATGAAATATATGAGTGATGAAAATTTTCGAATGAAAAATATATTCTTTGATTTGAATGGTTTGGATATATAATAATCGGAGTAAAGTCGTCGAATAAATTTGATAAAAAAAAATGTAATTTGGATTATCTTATTTTTCTAATTAAATTAATTCTTTAGAGATTTTAAAAGGCAAGTAGAAATCTTAGTCGTCTTTAGAAATCGAAATCTATATAAATAAATAGGTGGATAGATTATCGGATAATTTTATAGAAAGTATTTGAAATATATTTACCTAGGTAGATAAATATTTAGAGATATATAGTTAGATTTAGATAGATATATATATATAAATAACTAAAATTATGAGTAAATAAATAGATAGGTAAAAATATAGAGATAGGTGTAGATACATAGCTATTTCCATAGAAATCTTTCTAAATAGCAAGACATATATAGATATATATAGATATAAATAAATTTTCATAATCTTATAGATATATATATAGTTAATAGATAGCTAGGTAAATATTCCCTACGATAGATAGGAAGCCAGATAGAGACGAATAGACCGATAGATATAGATGGATAGATGAAGATAGATACAAATAGACGGATACAAATAAAAAAGAAAGATAGATCGGGTCGAAGCAGAGATAGAGAAATGGAGAGACGAAGAGCGATAGAGAGATATAGATAGATAATTATCTAGATAGAAAATCCTCTAGATAGACAAATATACGTACGGATAGATATTTAGGCAGATAGCTATTCAACGAAAAAAATTCTTGATTGCCAAAAGCAAAAAGAGATCCATATATATATAGATATAAGAGATATAAATATCGATATCTGAATTCAGAGAGAATGGTATTGGACCTCGTGTTTTAATTATTTTGACGCGTTTCTTGTTGAGAAGGTCTTGTATATCTGTCTCGCGGAACTGAAATTTCGATATTCAAATCTTTGTAAGTCTTTGGCATATTTTTCGAACGCTCCTAAAATCGGATATAATTATTCTTTAAAGCCTCTTTTTCGGGTCATGCTCCCCGGTACTAAACCTTCGGAAGTTCTATTAACACGAGCATATCTCAAAAATTTCGGCAATTTTATAGTCGCGAGTATTCCTATCGAAAATTTCGAAAAAAAGATTTTCGAGATTTTGTCCCCCTCAAATTATCAAAATTTCCGAATTTTTATCGCGAGAATTCCTAAAGATACTAAAATTTCGGAAATTTCGATATCGAGAAAAAATAAAAATTTCCGAAATTTTAGTAGCGCGAGATAAATATATAAGAGATTTCAAAAAGATACGCCCCAAAGAACAAAATTATTGGGAGACCAATGATGCCCGCCAAAAAATCGATAACGCCCAAAACGATGCCATTTTATTAACGAATTCAGAATTAAAAAAAAGAATATAATCAGATTCTCAAAATAATATTCGCCTCGGCCCCTCGGCCCCGGCCGAAACGGTCGGAGATTCTTATTCGACTTCCCTCTATTCTCTCCTCTTAAGCCCCCCCCCCAAATGACCCCCCTGTATGAAGCCATAAATAAGCCCAAGGTCCGGCGGCGAAATTTCGCCTCCTCCAATGGATTTGGCCTATCTATAACGGGCCGCGTTCATCTCCTTCTCCCTTCCCTCCCTTTACAAGTATGTATTATAATCATATATTCTCTCTTCTCTCTCTCCAACGAATAAATCATTTCTACCCCCCTGCCGGATATAGGCAATTATCCAGACCTAGAATTTCACGCAAAAATTTTTCGATTCTGCGGTGTACAGCTAAAGCTCTCCCCCGTAGATCTCATGGGGACTCCTTCTAAAAATCCTTAAAGGCTTTGGGGTCCGGCGTGGTCGGGTAGAGAGTTAGAATATAAAAACAACCCTAAATCTTAAACCTTAACGGCCCAGTCGTGTATTTATCAAATATACATAATATTAGATCTAGAGATTCTTTTTTTATAAGATATCGAGATATAATATCTATGAGAGATTTATATATCGAAAAAATATATTATATTTTTATATTGAATATATATATATATATTTATTTATTTATATTTATATATAAATTAAATAAATCTAATACGACTCCCCAACTAGTAAATTATATTTTTTAAGGGTTTGGGGTCCGGCGTAGTCGGGTTTAGGGTTTAGGGGTTTAGGGTTTAGGATTTAGGATTTAGGATTCAGGATTTAAGGTTTTAGGCATTCACCAGCAATATTTCCTCGACCTGTTATGAAAAATATTGCTTTATGTCAAGTATTGTCAAATCTTATGACGCCTCTTGCATTACAGAGTTGTCTTCACCTCCTCTATCTCGTGTCTTCCGGAAACGCATCGGCATCGAACGGCACTATGTAGACAAGGCCAAACTTGACGAAGAGCATCCGGACACTCTGTGTTCCGCGATCAACATTGCTGGGCTGCTACAGGCGTCGAGAGGGCTTTCCCGAGCTTCAAACCGAAGGAGCAGTCAGGTGTAACAAGACGAAGCTTCATACCCTCCGCAAGAGCAGGTATAAAGCTCGGATCTGATCGATTGCCACCCGAGCCACAGCACCCAAGCTGCAGGCTCAGGGGCGCTATGAGGAAGCTGAGTTATTATACAGACTGTGCGAATCCAAGTCACTCACTATCAAGCATCAGCTGCTGCCTGGGTTCAAGACGCCATGGCAACGCAAGCTCAGCTCACGCACAGACGTGCACAAATCTATCCAAGCGACTGCGGCGCAACCTCCAGATTGCAGTCCGGCTGTCGGGACATGGCGCACAGGGAACGTCAAGATTGAGAACAGTGGCTTTTGAACAAACCTTAGCATCACCTGAGATGAAATGTTGATCCCGACGTTCACACAAACATGATGCAGCCACTTTACACAGCTAGGCATTCGTACCAAAAGAACCGGGCTACGTGTGCACTAAAAGCGAGACGGTCTCCTTTTGACGTGGTGGTTTGAGCATCGAAGCAAGATGCGAAATACACTCCGGCCCAGGTCGGGGGTTTACGGTGAATGTTGAAGCCTTCAACGCTATGGGTTCGGGGATGCTCGGGGTTCAGTGCTCCAGATTCACGGTTCCGGACTTCAGGCTTGACTTGAGGTTTGGCCGAGTGTCTTATGTTGATTCGTTGCATCTTCCGGGGACAAGGTCTGCGTTTGCGATTGCGGTGTTACTCGTCTCCATGGGGTGCCAGGTCACCACAGTGCGGCGTGGTAGGTGTCTTGAGCAAACTGTGCAGGTGCTTTTTATTCCAGCTTGGGATTTGGGGCTTGTAGTTCGCTATGTCATCCGACATGAAAGCAACGATGAATTGGCCAGCCGCATTTTACGGAGGTGTTCTGTGCAGGATGTCTATCTTGACAGACTGCAGCCTGTTACTTCTTATAAGCTCTGCCGAAAAACCACGACATCTTTTCGGATGTAGGGCCCACGGGTTTATCGGGTGCGTGGACACGAGCTCAAGGCATGCGAGAAATGACCAGTCAAACTGCTTTTTCGCCCTGCTTTGCAAAATTTGCCCCGGTCATCGCACGGGACAGGTTAGACCATTGGTCCCAAGATGGGTATGGTAAGAATCTCACCCCTCAGCACGCTCCGCCGCGGTGCATCGTGATCTAAGACATAGTGACCTAGACGTTACACTCGCGCTTCTGGTGTCTGGTAGCTTTTTCGGTAGCTATACGTATGTCCTGTCTAACCATCTAACCCCTGTCTCGTACGTGTTGTCTAAGTATTCCCGCTTGAGACCCCAATTGGGTGCCTGTGGCTTCAAGCTTAGTGTCAGGGTTTGCCCACCAAGAGGGCCCTCGCCTCCGGGGCTCCCAAACGCGCATCTCTCGGCGGACGACGGTTTATATCCAAAACAGCCGCCCCCCCTCCCCTGGTAAGCGGGGGGGCGTAATCATCTCAGCTACGTGTAAACGATATACTGTACACCGACCAAAACCGCTGCACTCAGTTGGGGACCACACAGACTGCCTTGCCCTTGCCCTTCCTTGGCGAGGAAAGGCGGCGGTTCCGAGTGTTTCTGTGGACCCCCCGAAAACCACCCCAAACCACAACTCTGAAGCTTGAGAAAACTTGAAGGACCGAATATACCAATCCTATAAACAGTAGGAGGCTTCTTGTACGAAACGAATTTTTTCTCAACAAATCCTCTCATCGACCGTCAGACAGAGACACAGAACACCGAGCCGGGCATCCCCTTGCCCTTGGGATCCTCGCCCATGACAAAACGGACATTCTGCCCTTGCTGGAGGGTGCCTCGGACAGGGCTCAAGGGCTAAAGGGTAACAGTTCCCCTTTGTTGGGGCCTTAAGCTGAGCGGCCTCCGGGTTTCACTTAGGGTTCACGGTTCAGACTTCATGAGTCCGGGCTTGGCCACTTTAAAAATCCTACAGCCGGAACCCTAGACACTCAACCCGGGGCAGCTTTTCGGGGTGAGAAGAAATGACACAGGTCGTCGAGCTGGTTTAGGGTTGGGCCAGTCTAGAAGTTCACTGTTTCTGGCCCCTCCGTCAACGGCTCCATGCATGAAACCCCCAAACGCCCAAACCCTGATTTGGAGCCCGCTGTACTCCATAAGCCTGAATCGAATCCGAAAACTCTGAACGGACGCTAAACCCGGCTCAAAAGCCCCGAAACCCCGAACCCAACAGCAAGAAAACGGCCGTGTGGCGGTAGGACTCTTCGGTCTGGATAGCGCTGAAGTGCACGTACACGTCGTCGCCCCCCCGGCTGGGGGTAATGAAGCCGTATCCTGGCTACAAGCCCGATACAGGGAGTGTCTTTGTTGGGTTAGGGTTTAGGGTATGGGATTATGATCAAGTTTCCTTTCTCTAAGGTCCGCTGGCACCTGCCACAACAGAGTTTGAAGCAAGGCATTTTCCACAGCATGATCTCCAGTTTCTTTGTTCCTGGAACTCATACGGCTACACTGCAAACTGTGAAAAGCTCGCTCGGCACATATGCTATCCTCCGTCTGATACTATGCACACAAGTGGTACTGTTTACACTGTGATGTGAAGAAGGATGCTGGCTCCATTCCACAACCTTCTGCTTGCCATGTGTGAGACTCCACTGCACTGCTGTTTCTACACTCCTTTTCTTCGAACTGATCCTGTCCGTGTGTCAACGCCATCATGTCATGGTGAGACCTGCTTCCCAGAACTCCCCTATTACAGCCCGTTTAACATCTTCTCCGGCCAGTGCCCTGCCGACCGGCGAGCGCTGTGCGTTCGGCGGTGCATCAACCGTGGACTTGGACTACAAAAGGAGCCGTTCGGGTCGGGGCCGGAGATTGACTTACCACTTCCGTCGTCGCCTCGAACTTGAACTTTTATCTTTAGCGCTGAACCCTAAACCCGGAACCCGAAACTCTGAAGATAAGGGAGACAGAGCAGATCTTCGAGGCCTCTGTCGTCGTTGAAGGTCGCAACGACGCCATCTTCCATCTCTCCGTCGGAGTAGTCTCGTCCTCCTGTGATCTTGAGGACTCGCAGGTCGGATAAGTAGACCCCACAAAGCCCCAAACCTCCAAAAGAACCCACACCTCCCAAAATCCTACATGCCTCCAAGAAGTTTGAGATAGGGTCGAAACGCGCACGGGTAACCGAACTGAGGCCAGCTCAAGGCTTTTTGAGCCGGGGCGCCTCCTCCCTTACCCTTTCCCTTGCCATAGCCGCCCTTGCCATAGCCCTTGTCGTAGCCCTTGTCGTAGCCTTTGTCGTACCCGCCGTAGCCCTTGCCATCTTTTCCATCCTTGCCTTGCAAAATCCCAAAGCTTAGGGGATCCCGTATGAAGGTGCTTGCAGAACTCATTATTAGTTTTAGTAGTATTAGTATTATTATTAGTATTTTTTAATATTATTATTTATAGGGTATGAAGAGATTTCAAAGCCGGAGGTTCCAGCAGAGAAAGGGGGTCCCCCCTTTTGAGTTTAGGGCTTAGGGTTTAGGGTTTAGGGTTTTGGGTTTAGGGTGTGGGGTTTAGTGCATGTTCTAATCGGAAAAGCCCGGCCTTTGCCCTTGCCTCCTTGGTCGATCTTCACGTTGACATACCGTCGGTTGCCCTCCATGGTGCCTGGGCTCTACACTTGGGGACCATATGGCCTTGAAGGGATTTTGAGCAACAGCACGTCAAGTTGAATATTTCTGCGACTGCTATCATGAGCTATTGCTCTTCACTCCCTAGTAACGTCATAACGAAATATGAGTATGACTACCATTCCCTGTGCTGTACTGCATCTCACCCAACGAATTATGCATGCGATTATGATGATGTTACCGAGGGTCTCCAGAGTTCGGCTCTTGCTGCTCTTGCTTGTAGCAACACCACTGCTTCAAAGGGGTTGTTTCAAAGCGTTCCAGCCCCGAAACACAGACCCGAAACGATCTATTCTGACCCGACTGCTTGGCCCCAACCCAGAGCTCTGAATACGCCCCGATTCCGAGTAACTCACCCTCAATTCCGACAATTGCAGCCTAAACGGACATTTCCCTAAATTATCGGCACGAATCAAATTCTCGGCACGAAGCCCAGGCCAGAAATGAGTTCAGGGTGTTTGAGCCATGAGTTTTGCCTTTGGGGCTGCGGTGTCAAGAAATTCCATCGCACCAACTGGCGAGATAAGTTGCTGTTGTTGAGCTCATTCACCGCACGGTCCGCGTCCTTTGACGATTCCTTGAAGCCACAACAAGATGTGAAGCACCAATCTCCATATCTGCGCGAATTCGTAAACAGACTAAATCTGCAGACCGCAACGACAAATGCAACAAAAGATGAAACCCACAACCCTGCACCGTTCTGGTCGCCGAGACACGTAGGTCACAACGGCATTGCCTTTGCCGACGAAACGAACGCCTTTGACCGGCGCAATGGTGCTGAAGTGGCTTTCCACCGTGCTTTCGGGTGTGTCGAAGTCGAAGCCGCTCACGAAGACCGCCGACATTGCAGGTACTGTGAGGAGTTGAAGGGACCGACGGTAGTAGGAAAAGGCAAGCTACCCTTGGCAGTGCAAATCAGCAAGCATGTTGCACCGTGATGGTAAAACGAAAATTCATTCCAGGCCGGAGAGTACAGACAAATACATGCAAAAAATCTCGCTTTTGACTGTACTTATCGCCGGGTTGATTGGTGATCGCACCACTGTGAAGGTGCGAAGACAACAGCCCAGGTTCTTCACATCAATACCCAAACAGAATAGCCACGCCGTATGTCGAATCTGGTTCATAGCATCCAAGCTTTTTTGTTGGTCCCCATGATGCATCACAGCCGGACTCTCTCAAATTAAACATGTTGGCAAGCTGAGTTTGGTGCAATCTTTAAGCACAGCTACAACAGCCACCTGGTTGTTGAATGAACAGCTTGACTAAAACTCTTGGCATCGACAAATAGCATAAGGGTCGCAATGGGCACATTCAACAACTGAGTACTTTGTACCGCATCTCATGTTAAGGCGATGCAGCTTCAAACGATGCAATGTGGAAGTGGTTCAAGTCCGCGCGACAGGCCGCCAAAACGCCCACATGAGCGGCGGCTGCTTTTGGCTTCCCACACACAAGAGAATTACTTGGCTAAAAAGAAATTCCAACCACAACAAACAAGCAAAACTTCGGCATGAGAACAAGCTGTGCATCATGACACTGTCGATGGACAGAAGCTGCGCACCTCCTTGGAAACTGTAGCTCTTCCGTCTGTTCACGTGTGACGTTTTTTCCGCAACTTTCCTTCGTGCAACTGGCACGGTTGCTCACGGTAGGTCATTGTCTTTCAAGCGTTGGTGCAGCCTGAATCGTGTGTCCACATTACTTGTACACAACGTTATGCCGTTATGCTGGCTTGACGTTCTGAAATTGAAAACTTTGTAGAACCATGTGGCTTGCAACATTGTATCCTTTCGAAAAAAGGTGAGTGAACTGCGTGCGTGCGTGCGTGCGTGCGAGCGTGCGTGCGAGCCAGAGTGTGTGCGTGTGTGCGTACAGGCGAGCGTGCGTGCGTGCGTGAGAGAGTGAGTGGGTTAGTGAGCGAGTGGCGCGTAAAAATCGAAGCAAACAGTCGCAACCAACCAAGATCAATCCATTTCCCCAGTACAATCAGATCACTCGAGCACTCTTTTCTGCGACCAAGCAGCCGTTCCTGCCCAGTCTTGCGCCAAATGCC